TAATCTTTTGAATAATTTGTGACCAAACCGTTTGAGACCCACTGAGATAACTTACTAAAGTTAACTATCTAAACACTCAGAGAGTCCTTTAGCTCACCTGAGTCTCTCAGTCTGAGAGGAGAGGACTCTCCTCCAGCTTGTTGTGGAACAAACAGCTCCTTATGTCCGTTAGTGCAGCTAGCTAACCAGATGCTAACAACACGGTCCATGCTGACACCGGACCCTCCCTCCCCCTCTCCCTCTCTCTCTCTATCACACAATGCGCTATTGCCACACACACACACAGAGCCGAGCTTGAATGTCACAAGCACACGTTTATTTCCATGCAACTCTCTGATTGGTCTGGTGTCATGCCTCTGTTGCATTCACTGAACACGGGAAATTACAGTGCTGCCGTCCTCTCTTGTGTCATGATGAGGTTCACGTAAAGCACGGTTAATGTATTATATTATTGAGGGAGAATTGTCCGGGGCTACAGAAAAAACATTCGGGGCTAAAGCCCCGGATGCCCAGGCCAGGCGACGCCACTGGGTGAGAGAGAAACTATGTTTTTTTAATTTCATGTTGTTTCAACAGCAGTTATAAAGGACCAACAAAAGCATACTTAACCAGCACATGAAGGAATTTTATTTATAAATAACCAGAGTATTTTCATGTTATTCAGATGTCATTGAAAGTCACCTTCACAGGTCTGAGGATGGACTTGTGTTTGACTAAGACCAAAAAGACCCATTACACAACTAATTGACTAAGAGGGGGCTGTCATAGCACGTAAACAAATATATATTTGGAATGAATAATTCTAAAAGTTTATGAGATTTTTTTTCATGGTATAACTACTTTAATAAAACGATAAAAATAATAGTGGCTTAAAATATAATTCAACACTATCATGAAAATGAATGTATATTAACGAAAAGTCTCAAATGCATTGCGATAAAAGGTAGTACACATGTTTTCAACTTTATCCTAAGAAATCAAAGTTTTCTGTAAATACGTCATAAAACTCAGATATACAGTGTATCAATGATGAAGGGAAATATTGGAAAGAGTAAGTGGTACAATGTAAACACGTTTACTTTTACGTAAGAACAACACTGAAAATAGTTCTCCTTTTCCACACACAAACAACTATTACAATTATAATACAACTCACCCATATAGGCAATAACATAACAATGAAAATATATACATGGAATCAAGTGGATAAATCAAATACAATTCTAATAAACATCACAACACATTTCTACTACTTAAAAAAAAGTGTTTGAAATGTCCACAGATTGGGCCAATCGGACCCTCTATCCTTTTATTTTTGAACTTCCTGCTATCGGTAGTTACAAGTCTTTCATATATGCTTCTTTTTTGTGATTTAAGTGGTAACATTACGATATAATTGACTTAAAAAAATTACATTTGTTATATTTTGTTGGACAGATCAATGAGTCTTTATTAGATACACTATACACCAGCAAAGGCTCACCACAAGGGGGCATCCTGTCCCTCTTCCTGTTCATTCTCCACACTGATGAATGTAAGCGCATGCATTCCAAAACACAGAATATGGTATTAGGAGGACCAATGTCTACTTATTCAGGAAGCCAAATACATTCAGTGTCCAAAAAGCATTTTACCAACCTTCTACAGTTTCTTAATCCAGAGTATTCTTCCTCTAATGCTGCTTCCTCTCCCTTATTGTGGATAAAATAAAGCACTTTCAGACCACAGTTCCCTGAATCCTTCCTCGGAAGTGTAGCCTCATGCTAGGGGCAGCAGGTCAGGGCCTTAACATCATGGGGTATAGGACCCATGTCCTCCACCCCAAGTTCCTTCTGATTCCTCTCGGGGGTGCACATGCCTCCCCAGATGCTAAAAAACCAAGGAACTGAAGAACAAAATGGTGATTCGTGTCTGTTTTTACTTGCCTATAATCACATCACCATAGATTAATACAGTTGTGTTGAATTGAAAGAAATCAGACGAAACTTTTGGAATAAAACCCTTTGATTGGTTTACAGAACTGTAGTAATTAAAGGGGCCCTATTATGCTCCTTTTCAGGTTTCTATCTTTATTTCTCTCATACTGCCTGTGCTGCAGCACCTCTTTTCACCCTCTGTCTGAAACCAGAGCCCAGTCTGCTCTGATTGGTTAGCTAGTTGGCTCTGTTGTGATTGGTCAACACTTTTCTGGTGGCCCTGGGGCCGTTCTCATTTCATCAAATCCCCCTCCTCGACTCCTAGACTCCTCGGTCCTCCGGTAGTGACCCGGAAATGAATTTTAGCGCGCCATGTTGAAGGACATCTCATTTCTCTAAATGCACATCGAGGACCGAGCATCGAGCATCGAGGAGGCTCTCTGGAGGAGCTATAACCGAGGATGCACTGATGGGTCCTCCACGGTCCTCCACGGCTCCTTCGTGGATGCATTTCCGGGAACAGAGATGTTTCAAAGAGTCGTGACGCACGGCCGGACTTATCTCAGCCAATGACAGCTCTGCATGCATCCCCTGGATATTATTTTATTAACTGCTTTCATCACGACGCGATGTTTACAGAGAGAACAGCTGTGAGGTCCGTGCAGAAAGCAGAGCAGTGTGTATAATATATATCACTCAGTATAACAGGCCTACTCTCTTTATTTGCTTTAGTTTAGTTGATATCTACAAACAAAGAGTCGATATTTTTCTAAAACCATTTAGTGCTTCACAAAATAAAATACACAACGGCTGTAGCCTGATTATATGCTTTAGGAGCTGTAGGTGCGTGTTGTACAGCGTGTAGGTGCGTGTTGTACAGTGTGTAGGTGTGTGTGGTGTAGGTGTGTGTGGTACAGTGTGTGCGTAGATGCAGCGGACAGACAGGTCTCAGTTAGTTTGGTGTCCTCTGCTTACTTTTAATACTTGTAAATAAAACTTTTGGCCCGTAATTTATTTTCCTCATTGTAGTGACCAGAGAGGGGAGAGGGGGGGGGATATATCCAGTCTCTGATAGTGTTACGTTATTATGAGAGTGCTCTGTTTGATTCTGAAATTGTATATATTTATATATATGTGTGTGTGTGTGTGTGTGTGTGTGTGTGTGTGTGTGTGTGTGTGTGTGTGTGTGTGTGTGTGTGTGTGTGTGTGTGTGTGTGTGTGTGTGTGTGTGGCCTGTTATTGTCTCATTATACCGCACTATCAATGAATTCAAAGTAAATATATAAGTTGTCATGAACACATCTGTCCATCAGACAGAGGGCTGCTGTGCCTCCTGTCATCATTAATGGACGTCTCTTTAAAATGACCGCTCACTGAGCTGTCATTTTAAAGAGGAGAGGAGTTCTCATTTCTCTAACCGCCTGCTGCTTCCCCTCCTCTCTCCTCGGTTTCCCTCCTCGGCTCCTCCGCTCGCATCTCCTGTGGGCGGGACTAAGTCTCGAGGATAGGAGTCGAGGAGGGGAGTCGAGGAGGGTAATTTGATGAAATGAGAACAGCCCCTGGTGTTCCTTCCTTCCTTCCTCCAGCTGGTTCACCTCCCTCCTGTAGTGGGTCTCGTCGTTGTTGCTGATGAGACCCACCACGGTTGTGTCATCCGCAAACGTGATGAAGTGGTTGGAGCTGTGTGCAGTCGTGGGTCAGCAGGGTGAAGAGCAGGGGGCTGAGCACACATCCTCTGGGGGGCCCCCGTACTCAGTGTGATGGCTCCTGATGTGTTGTTGCCGACCCGTACAGATTGGGGTCTGGCAGTGAGGAAGTCCAGCAGCCAGTCACAGAGAAAGGGGCTGAGGCCCAGGCTGCTGGGGGATGATGGTGTTGAATGCTGAGATAAAGTCTATGAACAGCATCCTCACATAAGAGTTGTTAGTGTCCAAGTGGGTGAGGGCTGTATGGAGAGCAGAGGAGATTGCATCCTCAGTGGACCGCTTCGCTCGATATGCACTATAACTTTAAATTGAATCCGTTTGATTCAGATAAAAAGAGTAACAGGGATGAGTAGGTTAGACTAGAGTGCCAGACGCCTTCTAGACTGAAATAATATGAAAAATATGACAAATAAGCTCTGTTGTGATTGGTCAACCGCTTAGGGATGTCCCATCCCTAAGCACTTTTCTGGTGGCCCTGGTGTTCCTTCTGCATGCTCCACTGATGCAGCTCAGCTCACCCCAAAATATATATTACATATTAAAGTAATGAACAAACATGGTTGTGCTTTGTTCTTCCTCGGGTAGGGGTATCTCAATAACTAAAGCCTTTTTGGGGGGTTTGTTCCTCTACTACAGGGGGGAGTGTGTGGGAACATTTAATTACACAAAAACCCATATAACACACTACACTACATTATATTTCTCTATTTAAAAACAGTATTGCTTTGCCACTGGCATTTATTTTAATTTAGAGTCTGAGTATGGTGTGGATCTATGATTCAATCATTTAGGTTGCTTCCATCTCTGTCTTTTTCAAGAGTTTCAATGGATGCACGCGGAGGAGTTACCGGTAATCAACAAGCTTCTTCCATCTATGGCGCAGAAACCAACATATTTTCTTATGTCTATTGTGATATCATGATTATCAGTTGCTCTTTTATTCATTAATTTAATTATGTAATTTACTGATATGACAACAGGACAGGCCTGGTGTCTCCTGGAGTACAAGGGTACAGCCTGGGACTTCATTTGGCACATTGGGCTATTTATAATGTTTGCAGAGCCGTAGTAAAATCAAAACCTTTTTAAGTTTTTCATTGAATCAGTTCATACTTCATTTGGGTGTAATCGGCTTCTGTCTAGCTCTATTTCTTTATTTGTTAAACATCTATTTCTATAATTTCTCATGTGGACAACAACACTGACTAACCTCAACAGACACAGTCAATGCCTGCTCCTTTTATATTTAACCAATAAAACATGCCACCATTTCTGTATGGCAATTGGATTTTCTCTGCACCTTCTAAAGAAAAGATGAGTCACTCCATTAGAATTTGAAGTATTGTTTTTATTGTGAATAAACAAAACAAAATACAGCTCTTTTACACAAATTGGTTAAAATATACCAAAAAGTGATATAGTGCATAGTATATGGAAGAGAGCTTTTAAATAAAAGTTGTCAAACAAAAGCCCAAAAGTCAAATAAAAAGTGGTGCTCGGAGTTCAAAGTTTTTCAATTATTTCTTTCTACCAAAGCCAAAGTTACTGAATGTTGTCTAAATACAAGCTGATGATGAATTTTCCTAGAAATATACGTTTGACCTCATTTGAATCAGGAACTAGGATTTCACAGAAAAAGCCATTCTGTTTACAAATCTGTTCAAACTGTCACAGTTTTTAGTACTTACTGGTATATGATATTTTTTAGTCTGATTCAAAAGACTCTCACCACAGAGTCTTTACAGTAGTGTTATGTATCACATCATTTTCATCAGCACATAGAGTTTGACTGGAGCTTTTCATAGAAATTACATTTTCAGATCTACATTACATATTTAGCTAAAAGTTGAAAATACAAAATAAAATCATTTTCCGCTTTGGAAAGAATACAAACAAAAAAATCTCACATCAGGGTCAATTCAGTATTCTGGAGCGTTCAGTCCTATCACATGATCGTTAGCAGATGAACATAACAGATTGGAGTCACATGACACTGTTCACGTTTTATCACTATTTAACATAGTATCTGAAATTCAGAAATAATTGTATTTACTGTATACCTGTATATCTTCAGTGTGCTTTATTCTAAGTTAAACAATGTGAACTCTTACTGTAGTTTGAAGTCCTTTTTTTGTTTGTTTTACATCACGAAGTTCATAAAAAGAGAGTTGAGAGAAAGAGTGATGTTTATTTCACTTTTTTATGTTCACATTTTTTTTTTTTCACAGATTATTTTACTAATATTGCTTTAGCAAAATAATTTGTTGCGAAAGCAATATTTTTCCTGGATTTCAAACCATTGCTGTTAAAAATACTACGTCTCTTGCAGCTTTGCCAGAAAATCAATTATTTCTCCGCACATGCTGTCCCTGCGTCTGTCCCTGATCTTCTCCAGAACTTTTATGCTGTTCTTACGAAAGAACGATTGTTGCGGTATCTTTGCCGCCTTCATGTGATATCGTATTGACATGTTGCCATCCTGTTTTTCGAAATTTAAATATTTTGCATACTTGTTGTAAAGCATTTGTTTTTCTTCAAGTTCCAGATCCCTTTCTAGCAGTTCCTGATAAATCTGTTCAGCTTTAGCCTGACCATCATGTGAGAGTGCGTATATCTTAGCAAGGTCTATTTTCCTCATGAGTGAGGAATCAGGGTAAAGATCAATCACCTCCTGATGGAGACTGACTGCTCTGTCTAGCATGCTTTTCTTTGGGGGACTGTCACTGAAAATGAGCCTCCCTCCATAGTGGAGAGCAGCGCATCTCTTCAGATAACGCTCATCTGGATGGTTCTTCAGAGCCTCCTCTGCCAAATCAATGGACTCATCAACAGATATATATTTTCTGAAAATCCTCAGCAATGTTTTAAAACCAGTGTAGCTGCTGACAGGACTTCTCATAACCTCTCTGGCTAACTCACATGCTTCATCTTCTATTCTTTCTCCTCTCTTAGCACGTTGCTCAAGGTACTGAACAGCAAAGTACAAGTTCTCTGGATCCTGTTCTTGGGCAATTCTCATTTTCTCAAAGATGTCATCTTCCAGCCCTGTGCTGCTGTGCTTAGAAGCATACATTAAAGCTAAGGCATGGCTAGTGTTCCACTCCACCATGTCCGGCTGCATCTCGATGGCTCTCTGGAAGTAATCTGCAACAAGGTTTATGTCTCCCTTCAATGCTAATAGCGTATAAGCTTTTTCAGCGTAGGTCTCTGGGTGGTGCTCCTCCTGGGATGGAGATGGGTATTTTTTATTCAGGGCGTCGACCTTAGACAGGTAGGCCTCGCTCTCTGCTTGGTCTCCCAAGTGGTGGTGCAGCCAAGCCAGGTTCCCGTAGTTCACCACTAACCAGGGGCCCTCATCTGCGTTTCTCATGTTATTGAAGGCCTCTGTAGCCTTGTTGAAGAAACTTTGGGCGTCTTCATTGAAGCCCAGCCTGTACTGAATGAACCCTTGCAGGTTGTAGATGTGACCCAGCCAGGGGTTTCCATTCTCAGTGCCAATGTCCTCCAGGTTGTCCCTACAACGAAAAAGTAAGGACCTGCTGAGGCCAAGATCCCAGGTGAAGTGGCACTGCAGGGCCTCCAGTCTGGACACCAGTGTTTGAGCAGCACTAATACAAAATAACAAAGTACAAATGTTTTTAAAACATCCTGAATAGTTGAATACAAAATGCCTCTGAAGTGTGCAACACATACCCACTGTTAAACTAATGTAGAGGAAGGGAGAATGGAAGGAAGGAATGGAGTAAAAAACACTGAATAGACAACCCAGTCTCACGGCATTTCGTGTTATAGTCACAACATTTAATCTATTGATTTGTGTTCACCAACACGATAAAAGCAATGTATTTCTATTGGTAGTATGTTTCGTGCCTGCAACACGTCTTTTTGTCCGGTTGGGTCTTGGAAGACCGGAAGCTGTGGGGTTCATAAAAACATGTTCTTACTCAATATCAAGCCACGATTATTGTTTTTATTTTAAATCGTATAATGTCGGACTTCTTTTGCCGTCTGTGAGGAAAAGAAATGGGGCTCAGAGCCTCAGAATACTGAAATCTGTATTTCTTTAATCTTTTTTTCCTTCTAATTTGTTATTCTTTTCTAAATAACACATTTTTATTTACTCAACAATAACACACAATTATCCTTGTTTTTATTTATTTGTTTAATTCCATAATCTCTGGCTTTTTTGGCGTCCGTCAGGAACTGAATTTCAAAATAAAAATAACCGGAAACAGACGTAGACCTATATGGGACATTTCGAGCATCATTGCGATACACAGCCACTGAACTGATTACCCAAGATCCTCAGCTATGGTTTAAGCTCGGTGATTGGATGTTTTAGCCGCAATGCACGTTGGGATATGGTGTTAATGCGATATGAAATCCAAAAAACATTTCGGAGTTTAGGATGGCCTAAAACACTACACTACCCATAATCCCCAGCTATCGTTTGGGACTACAGTCCCCGTGATTAATCTTCAAGCTCTGGGATTGGATGTTGGAGTGGCAGTGCGCCAAGGTTACGCCGAGCGTCAAACAGCTCTTTGAAATGGAACGAAACCACGGCAGACTATCCAAAACTGGACTCGAACGGGACCAGCCAACCCCTCGCTTGTGTCCATAATGGGCAGCATTAATATATACCCACATGACAGCTCATTGTTACTTTATAATTCTACTCCACTACAATTCAGAGGTTAACCTGGTATTTTTACTCCACTACATTTATTTGAGTTACTTTGCAGATTCTGATTAATGATGTGAAATATAAACAACCCTTACATCAGACTTTACCTGAGTAAAATTCAGGGAAGGTGATTGACAAGTGCCAACCATCAGGCGAGATATTTGATAGTTGGTGCTTAAGAAGACTAAACATTTATCTGCAGATCCCTATAAAGTATATTCATTACTCGTTATTCTCTACTAATAGTTAAAGGTGGGGTAGGTAAGTTTGAGAAACCGGCTCGAGATCGCTAGAATTTGAAAATACACAACCGGAGAAAATCTGCCACTTCCTTATAGAGCCCCTCCTCCAACACACACGAACGCGCACATGACCAATGAGGGCACGAGATAAGTTTGTGCACAGATGGAAGGCTGACGGGCAGGTAGGCCATCCAGTTATTTTAGCCGGGCCGGCTAAAATGATTGGTCGTACTTTTTACAGTATTACGGCTTCCACAGATGACATTTTTTTATGGATTTTTTGTCAAAGCACTTAAGATATTCATTGCTATCGGGATGTTAAGAGCATTCCATGGAATATAACAAAAAGTGTGTCTCGAGCCGGTTTCTCAAACTTACCTACCCCACCTTTAATTAAAGACTGTATATAATGGCTATTTTGCACATCCCTTTCAAGATTTCAAGATTTTCTAAGATTTATTGACATATCATATACACAACTATGGTGTAGTTATGCAATGAATGAAAAACTTGGGTCGCAGGTTCCTCAACAAGACAACAAGACATCTATCAATATGTGTGTATACTTCCACCATTAAACTGTCATATTCTGCACATTTCTTATACTATCTACATACATAAGAGTATCATTCATATGTATAATATCGGTTAAAATAAGTGCTTCAACATAGTTAAAGGGGACCTATCATGCAAAATGCACTTTTGTACGTCTTTTATACATGAATATGTGTCCCCGGTGTTCCAGGGAACTCACCAAGTGTCAGAAAACACAAACCTCTCTATTTTCCTCCATACCCAAATCTCTAAAAAAGGGGCTGCAACGGATCTGATAAAAACTGATCCAGATTTGAACACTTTACTGACGTCAGGAAAGTGGCGCTACGGCTATTGGGCCAACTCTCCACCTATCAGGGGAATGTGGGGTTGGGCCACGGCCGGCCATTGCCGCTCGAAAGCGCTGGAGACGCTGTAGTACATATGCCAGGCCTGTAAGTGGCACTGTAGTCTGCCACAAAAGCAGCGAAGAAGACTTGGTTACCATGGTTACCCTTCTGTTTATTCTCCGCTGTGGCTTTCTTTCTCCCTCCCCGAGGCAAGCGTTTGCTCCTTCTGCTGCTTTAATTCAATGCAATCCCTCCCCGTCGAGGCAAGCACTGTAATTCTCTCCGGTTAGTCCACCAGCAGATGACAAACACCCACCTCTCCGCCTCTTCCAAGGAACGAGGGGACCGGGCGGCAGAGTTTCAGTTTCAGTTTCTTTCGCCGGTCAAGATGTCCGTTAAAGTTTAAATCTTCCGGACAAAATTAGAAAAGTGCCGGTCAAAGGTCTTCTTTGTTATTTATTGAGCTTTAAAACAAATTAATAACGACTCTTTATAGGCTATAATAAAACACGGAGGACGGAGATCTCTTTTTCTCCCCCTCTTCTGACAGCCCAGTAGCTGATCAGAGCGGCTCCCCTCTCCTGCAGGGGGGCGTGGTCAGCTGCAGCTCAGCCCCCTAGACAGCAAACAGCACATAGAGCGAAATGAGGCATGGCTAAAATGCATGATCTGTTTGGTATTTCGAAAACAGAAACGTATAAATATACCTTATATAGGTATGGCCCTACAATATATCATTTAAATATAGCATGATAGGTTTCCTTTAACATTGCAGGAAAGCAATATATTAGACGTTAAGTACTTTTCAGGCTTAATATTTATCTGTAGATACCCCCAAAGCTGTTTTCTTATTTAAAAGAAGACCTTAACCTAAAGCATTCTTTAATGTGTTAATAAAGGTTAATTAGTTTGTCTGTTTTGCACATCCTCATATTAATATCTTTGTACATCCTGCACTAAACTGTTTTATTGTAGAGATCACTTACAGTATCTTCTTGATTTTTTATATTCTATATTTCTATCATTGACCTTCTACTTTCCCCCTATGAAAGTATGTACTCTTAATATTTTTTTCATCAAATATAACACATTAAAACAATAATTCAATAACGTGCTTTAACCACTAGGCGGTGCACACAAGGTACACACAGCCATAATAAATTTGTATTATTAGCGTAGGACACGTATGTATGTATAACATCTGAAGATGTGCAGTTTTATTCATGTTTTCACATAATTATACAGGGTATTGCTATAATATTTCACATGTTTACTCCTACACATTAATATCTGATTTGTATCACAGACAGAAAGGTATATCCGTCATTTAATGGTAAGCTATTGAAATTCTGAATCCACAGATGTGTCTCCCATCACCCAAAACCCCTGACTATTATCTCAACTCAGTATTTACATTCTTATATTCAAAGAAAATCAGTAATATCTTTAAAAACTACAAGTCCCTTTCTATCAGCTGTGCACCATTATGGTGTAAATAAAACCTATCTACCAATTGGATCAAATATAAAAGTCAGTCGAAGTACTATTGATACTGCAAGGAGACGTATTGTGTGAAGAGAAATTGAAGATGTTCTTCCTGTTTGTCTAGAAGTCTTCTCATCAGGGCTCTATAAATAGAGAACTACGGCAGATATGTAATATTTAATGCAGCCGAACCGTGTATTACAATGCCGTTATGTGATGACTTCCAAAGAGAAAAGCAAGCACACTCGGAATAAAGTATTATTTACTTTTTAAAAAAAATGTTTTTCGGATTTCATATCGCATAAACACCATATCCCAACGTGCATTGTGGCTAAACAATCCAATCACTGAGCTTAAACCATAGCTTAGGATCTTTGGTAATCAGTTCAGTGGCTGTGTATCTGTTTCCGGTTATTTTATTTTGAAATTCAGTTCCTGACGGACGCCAAAAAAGCCTGAGATTATAGAATTAAACAAATAAATAAAAACAAGGATAATTGTGTGTTATTGTTGAGTAAATAACAGTGTGTTATTTAGAAAAGAATAACAAATTAGAAGGAAAAAAAGATTAAAAAAATACAGATTTCAGTATTCTGAGGCTCTGAGCCCCATTTCTTCTCCTCACAGACGGCAAAAAAAGTCAGACATTATACGATTTAAAATAAAAACAATAATCGTGGCTTGATATTGAGTAAGAACCATAGACTGTATATATAAAGAACATGTTTTTATGAACCACACAGCTTCCGGTCTTCTAAGACCCGACCGGACAAAAGACGTGTTGCAGGCACGAAACACACTACCAATAGAAATACATTGCTTTTAAAATCGTTCTGTGTGACACGAAAAAAAGGGGAAAATCGTGTTGGTGAACACGAAATCAATAGATTAAATGTCGTGACTATAACACGAAATGCCGTGAGACTGGTTTGGAATAGACGGATAGTAAATGATTCATTCCACTCAATCCCTGAAGATCATCATAAGTGAGGGTTGGAACGTAGAACGATTGGTAAATGGGAGACTTGCCTCAACTCCCCTTCACCAACACAACACATGCATTACTGCTGCTTCTGTTTCAATCTGCCTGTCAATCTCACACTCTACTTTACCCCTTGCCCATTAGCAAACATTTTTTAACTCCTTCACTACCTCACACCTCGGAGGGAGCATTCCACCGTTTTCTGGCATAGACCCATGGCTTCAGACTTCAAGGTACTGACTCTCATCATGACTGCTTCACACTCAGCTGCTGAGGGCCCAATGATTGCTGGACACCATGGTCTGCCAACAGAACCACATTTTCTCCAAATAGAAGAAGCACACTTATCAGGGACCTGGATTGGACAATCTCCTTTGGCGACTGAAATTTAAAATCATGTTCATAGATATATTAAAGGTTATCAGGGAAAATCCCCGTGGAGGCCAGAACTCAGACGGAGAGAAAACAGACACAGCGTTCACTTTGGGTTCAAGGTGATGACTGTTTGAGATGAGAGCTCATAAATATGTTTTGTTTCTTTCTTGTTCAGCACGCAGGGAATAGAACATTCCTTTTGTTGGGTAACCCAGAGTTGTAGAATGACAATATTCGAACCTTGAGCCTTGAAACTTTAACCTCTAATACAATTAATTAAAAAGAAATATAGAATAGAAAAGCTGTAGAAGGAAGAGAGGGTTTGGAAACATTTATATTCAGATTCATATATTCAGATTCATACTGCTAATACCCTTGAACTAAATAAAACATTCAATAAATCCTAATGATACTCATTATATATTCTCACAATGATATATAATTCAAAAGCAGATTCTCACCTCATCATTCAGTAGTTCTGTAAATGTTGGGATGGTTTTGCTCTTGATGCTTTGGGTCAGCTGCTATAAAGTCGGTGATGTGCCACTTCTGCTTTGCTGTAAATAATGAGAGATGTTGTTGAGCATGCAAATTTAAATGTTCCCACTGCCAAAACGCAAATGCCAGATGCGAGGCATTTGGCTATCAAATACTACGTTATTTTGGTCTTGTTGCACCTTCACTTTTTTTCCTTAGGAAGGAAACTAAAGCCACATATCTAACTTGACTCCGCAAATGTTCTGTTCATATTTCCTCCAAATGTAACTCTAACTGTAACTTGATGCCATTATGGGTTAAATAATCAAACCAAAGATGCCACACTTTGAATGGCTACAACCTTAAATGCAAGAATAAAATGTGACAAGCATGGAATCACGCCAGAACTTGACTAAGGTTTTTTGCATTGTTAAAAAATTAACACAGATAAACCAAAAACAGCTTAGATATCAAGGTTTGTCAAATTATGTTATGGAGTTTACAGCACACCAGTATGTGAAAATAATAGGTGAATGTATAGTAAATGCTAATATATACGACCAATAACATGAATATTATAAATAAAATGTATAAATGCAATGTTTCTGTAAGTTGTAAATGATATAAATAGTGCAAAGAAGTAACCATTGAATGAGTGGATATGTACTTAAGGCCAACATACTGTATGTATACAGGTCTATATACATAATTGTCATGATCTTAATTTGTATTTCCTGTTTTATTATTAAATGTATTTTGTCCTCGTGTCTTGTCTTGTTTTACTTCCTGTCTCTGTTTTCCCTCCCGTTTGATTGTCCAACAGAGGTGGGAAGTAACTAAGTACATTTACTCAAGTACTGTACTAAGGTGACATTTTGAGGTACTTGTACTTTACTTAGTTGAGTGTTTTCATTTGTATTCTACTCTGTATTTCTACTCCACTACAAATAGGTATATCGTGTACTTTTACTCCACTACATGTATTTAATACCTTCAGTTACTTTGCAGATTTGGATTAATGATGTGAAATATAATCAACTCTTAAATAAGACTTTAGTTCCACCTGGACTAAATTCACAAGCTACCCTGCAGTATACACAGTCATTAAAACTAGCTGCATCTTTACCAGCTTTGATAACACTTTAATGCATCAATCATTATAACCAAAACATAAAATATATATTTTTCTGAAATGGGCCAATCTGTACGTTAAGTATATTTTGAGGCCAATTATTTTGCACCTTGACTTGAGGAACATTTTGATTGCAGGACATTAACTTGTAAAAGAGTATTCCTACACTGGTTCTTCTGCTTTTACTTAAAGTGCACCTATCATGCTATTTTTAGGCAATAGCATAGGTCTCAGATATATACAAATATATGAAAAACTAATCTATGAAGTGTTTTGCTCAAAATACCAAACAGATCACCCATTCTAGCCATGCCTCATATCCCTCTATTTCACTTCCTGTTTCAAAAATAAAAAAGGAGGGGGCTGAGCTCATGCGGGACCCGGCAGCTACTGTCTAAACGAAATACTGCCGTGATGAAACGCCATATCATGGATTATCAAGGATTATTTCTGAAACAGTATGGAGCTCAAAGGCCTTCTCTCTTGCCGGTTATACCACAAGGTGAGTTCCTTTTTATATCCAGCTTCTTCACACAAATGCTCTCCAGTACAGGTTAGCTCTGAGTGTTAGCGATGCTAATGTAAACACCGACCATATTACGTCCAAAACAGTCAGACATTGTTTCTGATAGGAACTTTCTGATAGTGCCGTGGGTCCACATTTCCGATATTACGTCATATCGGACGCAAATCTGGATCAGCTCCGTTGTACCCCCGTTTTTAGAGATGTGGGTACGGAGGAAAATAGAGATGGTTTTATTTTCCGACGTGTGAGTTCCCTGACACACCGGGGACGCATATTTATGTATAAAAGACATAAAAAAGTGCATTTTGCATGATAGGTCCCCTTTAAGTACAAGATTTGAGTACGTTTTCCACCTCTGTTGTGCAACTCTTTGCACGTGCTACACCTTGGGTTGTGCATGCCCTCCCCAGCTGTTGTCTTGGTGATTAGTCTTTTGTGTATACATGCCTGTTTTCCCTCGTGTTCTCTGTCAGTTCTTCTTCTGGATTTCCCTCGTCTGCCCTCCTACAGATGTAGCACCTAATTTAGGACAGTTTGAAACGCGAGGGCCGTGGTCGGCACGGGGTCTGCCCTCGATCAAGAGACAACCTCCAGCTTGACTTGAGACCGCCCCCGTGATAAATACATTTAATTATAATGAAGCCAGCTGCAATGGATCATTGATCCACCAGGGGGTGCAGTGGGGTTCCACACTGGAGCTCATGTGAAATCAACTCTGATACATTACGCTGGATGTACAGTATGTCTGGTACTACTATATAGCGGATCTTTGTTAAGATCCATATGTCACGGATAGGATCATAGTCTGCTAAATAAGAGACATGTAATCATTTACAAAACATCACCATGTTGTTATTTAACGAAATAATGTTGTTTAGTCGAAAAAAACGAACAACAGGAAATGCAGCCCGGCTCTCGATTTTTAATCCTAATTTAATCATCATCTTCACCACGATCATTTATGTTTATGTTTGCCGAATTGACATGAAATCACTGACAAATATGAATATTCTGTATTCAACTTCATTAAAACGTTATTAACGTGCCTAAACTCAGTAATTCACTAAAGATATTTATATTTGAATGGAGCCTCGTCAGGCAGATCAGGATCCCGACGGGTATTATTTTCCCCATAATGACCAAGTCGCTGCAAATTATCCCGCTTATTACATGGCCACATTCTCAACAAAGTAACGACATGACTCCCAATATTAATTGAAATGCTTTTATGGAATTAGAAAATGTTTTTATTGATTTAAAAAATAGTTGTATGTATTGATTTAAATTGACATGCATCCGCTAAGAAAAATAGTCACTAGACACTTGACACAGTGGCTTTTGGCAAAGCAGAAAAAGAACACTCAAACCGAGAGATGAGTTATTGTTATTACAACGTGATTTCACTATTATTTAACAACTCTTTTTATTGGGTTCTTTTATTTGGGGTTAAGTAGGGTGAATTGCCCTAATGTGGGACATTTTTTGCATTTCAGACTTCTGGAATATATTGCGATATGAAGCCAATAGAATAAATCAACACCCAGTACCTGTCACGATCTGTCTGTGTTGTGTTTTGTCTTGTCTTTTTCTGTCTCTGGTTCCTGTTTTGTTTTGAAATGTTTTCCTCCTTGTGTCTTCTCTGTTCCTTCTTCCTGTGTTTGCCTTCCTGTCTTAGTTTCCCTGGTGTGTCTGATTGTTTGATTGTGTTCACCTGTTGCCCTTGTGTTTCTGCCTCCCTTACCCCAGCTGTGTCTCGTCTTGTGATTACCCCTCTCTGTATTTAGTCTTGTCTTCCCCTGTGTGCCTTGTCGGTTCATTGTTTGTTTCTCCTGTCTCCCACCATGTTGGTCACGGTCAGTTTTCTGTAGAACCTATGTGTTTCATGCCATGCTATTGTTAAGCTTTGAGAATAAAGCTCGTTTTTGTTTCGAGACCGTTTACCTTTTCTGATAGTCTGCATTTGGGTCCTACCCTTCCACGCATTCCTTACAGAATGAACCGACCAAATATGGACCCAGCAGATTTTGAAGATTTTAAGGTAGATCTGTTCGATCTAGACTTTACCCTTCAATGTTACTATGTCGAGTGGAGTGGAACCTCGTCAAGAAGGGACAAAGAGGCTATCCTCAAGAAGGCACAGATGGCGGTGTCTAACATGCCATGGCTGAGGAGCTCGTTGCCTGAATGGCTCAGAGTTTTTGCACGTAGCCCCGAGTGCCAGTCTCCATTCTCTGACCCTTTTTTGGGATCCCGTCTGGCGTTTGGAGGTCCACGGAGCCTCCAAAAGACCTCAAAGAAACGCAAGGTCAGGAAGCCAGCTCATAATCCAGTACCGGCCCACACAGCCATGGATCCGTGCACCAGTACCGGCCCACACAGCCATGCTTCCGTGTTCGATTACCTGGCTCACACAGTCAGGTTCCAGGCTTCTGTTCCATGCCCAGCAGCCAGGGTGCCTGCTCCAGTACCGGCCCACACAGTCATGGTTCCGTGCACCAGTACAGCCCCACACAGTCATGGTACCGTGCTCCAGTACCATCCCACACAGCCATGGTTCCGTGTTCCGGTTCCGTGCCCAGCAGCCAGGGTGCCTGCTCCAGTACCGGCCCACACAGCCATGGTTCCGGCCCCAGTTCTGGCCCCAGCAGCCATGGTTCCAGCCCCAGTTCTGGCCCCAGCAGCCATGGTTCCGGCCCCAGTTCTGGCCCCAGCAGCCATGGTTCCGGCCCCAGTTCTGGCCCCAGCAGCCATGGTTCCGGCCCCAGTTCTGGCCCCAGCAGCCATGGTTCCGGCCCCAGTTCCGGCCCCAGCAGCCATGGTTCCGGCCCCAGTTCCGGCCCCAGCAGCCATGGTTCCGGCTTCAGTTTCGGCTCCAGTACTGGCTCCCTGGCCGACGCCAGCCCCCCGTGTCCTGTCGGTGGTCCGGCCGACTCCAGCACCTCGTGTCCTGTCGGTGGTCCGGCCGACTCCAGCACCTCGTGTCCTGTCGGTGGTCCGGCCGACTCCAGCACCCCGTCTCCTGTCGGTGGTCCGGCCGACTCCAGCACCTCGTGTCCTGTCGGGGGTCCGGCCGACTCCAGCACCTCGTGTCCTGTTGGCTCTACGGCCGACGCCAGCCCCCCGTGTTTTGTCAGTGGTTCGGTCCACTCCAGCCCCTCGTGTCCTGTCGGTGGTCCGGCCGACTCCAGCACCCCGTCTCCTGTCGGTGGTCCGGCCGACTCCAGCACCTCGTGTCCTGTCGGTGGTCCGGCCGACTCCAGCACCTCGTGTCCTGTCGGTGGTCCGGCCGACTCCGGCCCCCCGTGTTTTGTCAGTGGTTCGGCCCACTCCAGCCCCTCGTGTTCTGTCGGTGGTCCGGCCGACTCCAGCACCCCGTGTCCTGTTGGCTCTACGGCCGACGCCTACCCCATGTCCTGTACCGTTGGAGGTCCCGCC